ACAAATGAATGTGAGAGCTTCATATTGACTTGAGGAGTGCTGAGATATTCAGTATGAAGCCTCTATATACCTTCTGTCCAGCTTTTCCCCGGATTCTGTATTGTTTTGTTGTCTGACCCCAAGAAAACAGCTGTTTTTCCCCCTCCAAATTTGATTTCACTTACATTCTGTCTTTTGTTCTCATTTTCCTGTGTATTTCGTTCTCATTTCTCTGTGTATTTTGTCCTCCCTTAAGTTGCTCTTTTCTTCTCTGAATTTTCTGTAGTTTTGGTTATACCTGGAGTGTCTCTAAATTTCTTTACTGTATACCCTTTACTGTAAATCCAGTCTTCTGCATCATTCCAGGGAGCCTAATATTTTTCAGCTCAATGTGCAGTAGTGGTCAAAAAGATTAACAGAATTTACGAACTATTGGAAAAGGGACAGATAATAAGACAGCAAATATCATAATACCATTATGTAAATCCATAGTCCACCCACACCTTAAATAGAGTATCCAGTTCTGGTTGCCCCATATCAAAGAGGTTATAGCAGAACTAGAAAAGCCCATTTTATAACAATTTAAAACATTATCTGAAAGGCTTATCTGCCAATGCTTGAGTTTAGAATTCTATTTTATTCTTACATCATCTGATGACATTACTATCCCTTCAAGTGCTAGGTGATGCCATTGCGACAGAAAAAAAGCAAAACCACCTCCTCCCCCATCCCTTCTATGGCAAAACTCCTCTGGAAGTAAACAAACTTCCATTTATTAAGACTTGGTAGTAGGACCAGGACTGATTCTTTATGACATGGGAACTTAAAAACATCCTTTTATGTTCAAATACAAAATTTCAGTAATTTTGGCCAAGATTTTAAGTACACCTCTACCCCGATATAACGTGATCCGATATAACACAAATGCGGTTATAACGCGGTAAAGCAGCGCCCCGGGGGGGGGCAGGGCTGCGCACTCCGGTAGATCAAAGCAAGTTCGATATAACGCCGATTCACCTATAACGCAGTAAGATTTTTTGGCTCCCAAGGACAGTGTTATATCGGGGTAGAGGTGTAGTAGCTAATTCGGGGTGTTTCAGTATTTGGGTGCTCCACTGAAGACATTTTTATAAGTTTCTGATATTTTTGTTTAGAAAGCCCTGAGCACCTACCCTCTGAAAATCTGGCCCCTTTAAGGTGCCAAGTTGGGCTTCTGTACAGAGGCACCTAAAACCAAAATTTTAGAAGTGACTAAAGTGATTTTTATCCTATCTATTGGTGGTGAATTAGACATATTTTGATAAATGGTATTTATGTTAAGGACCAGCTCAAACAGAAATAAATGGGAATTTTGCCATTCTCTAAGTAGACAGAGAAGGCCCTACAGTATTTCCTTTAACACATGAAGGTAAAATGTGCTGAATACCTCTCAAGCTGACATTTGGATATAGACAGCACATGCTGATAAAGTTACTGGAATTTTTTCCTTTACCTTTGCAGGTCACCTTTAGAACAGCTTTATTTGTTTGTTTAATAAAACATGCCAGTTCACCTCTAATCAAGTGAAAGAAATTCTGATAAACCAGTTCACAAACAGACATGCACATTACCAAACCACAACACAATTAGTCACAATTGGCTTTCCTTGCCCATGGAAGACAACAAAAGTTGTATGGTAGAGGTCCTGCAGGAATAGAATAGAGTGTATTGGCAAATCTGTGAGGAAGCTCACAAGAGGCCCAGTTCTTCTCTGTATTACATCAGTGTAAGCCACAACTAAAATTGTGGAGTTGCACAAATTTTTTTACACAAGGGTAGATTACAGCTGAATTTTATATTTGATTCCACTCAGCATTGATGTTCTCATATTTGCAATTACTGAAGAATGTGTCACAGTTAAAGGCTAAGTTTCTATGTGGCTTTAAGCTAAGTTGCCACATCACATGAGACCAGCTTAAATGACTTTAAAAAAGTATACTCCTTTGTCTCCGAAAGGGTTGAGTGCTGTTTACAGGGCTTTTTAATAATGTGAGAACTATTTTTTTCAGACTTCTAAAAAGTATTACAGTGCTTCTTCCAATGTTCTGACCTTTTGTATTTCTACAACATGTACTTTATCAGACTTTTTTCCAGTTTGACTTCTATCTTCTCAATGAAAATAAAGATGTTGTTGTATACCAAAAGACTCAGTATAAAGTGTTTGTGTGCAATGTTCGGGGTTTGAATCCGGTGATGATGAGAATGAACTTCTTAAACCCTACTTACAATACACACCTTTCATAATTACTTGGGGGGAATATGTTATTAGTCCAATGATTAACCTAATTTCAGTGTCAATAAGGAGCACTCAAAACTCAGATCTTTTGTAGACTCTCCTCCACTAAAGAAAGGACTACCAATACATTTTGTAGTTAGCCTTAGAATACCTAGAAATGACATTTTTAAAAAGAGGAAAAGCCATTTGAAGTTTTGTAAAGAGGTACACTTTGTGTGCCTTCTAATCAGTTCTTTAAAAGGAATAAAGTTAGCAAAGGCATAACTAAAGTTTTTTTTATTAGCTACTGTCTTTTATATGCATTTTTACACAATTAATAGCTTTTTAAAAAATTCTTGTGGTTTTGTACTATAGCACAGAAACGACAATAACTAGACTTGCTGTAAATGACTTACAAAGCAAATAAAGAAAATGACTATATCATGAACTGTTTGCTTTTTACTGTTTGCTGTTCTACCACTCCCTCAGTTTGAACATACAATGTGAAAAGTCACACAACGGTGGCTTCAGAACAAGTCATTAAAATGTGAGCAAGCACAAAGAAACCAATATTCACTTCTCAAGAACAGCTTAACTCTTACCATCTTTGGCCACAGAAATATTACAAAAAAATTCAGTTCCTCTCACCAGTTGGATCCTTGTACTATCAGTTCCCTGTTTGTCTTCTATATATAGAACTTTAGGGAAGGAGACTCTTATTACAGCATAGTTTAAAAAAATAGACACAGTCAATTCTGTCAATAGTTTTCTGTATTTAAGTATGTTGAAGTATCATAGTGTTTCTCTCTTACAACCTACATTCTCTGGCTTAATTCTGCAATGAAGTCATAATCCTTTGTTGGAAACAAACAGTTGTCATAGAAATATTTGTGGTGATATATTCGTAGAATTAGTATTATGACTTCACTGCTAGCAGAACAAGAACACTGATAGGGTGTTTGGAATTTTAGCTCAAATGGCAGGGACTCTTATGAAACTTACAATAATGTAAAAGTAAGTGTACTACCACAGATTTTAATATTTCCTGGAGTTTTATGTCTCTTTCAAAGACTGAACTTCAAAAAGAATATTCTTACTATCTTTATAAGATTATGGAAGAAAGCTTAAAGTAGGGTTTACATTTTCAAATATATGGTGCTCAGATGACTATCAAATCTTGTTCTTAAAGTATCATGTGCTAACACACTGACCCCAATGTTCTGTTATCCAAAATCCAACATTCATATCTAAAATGAAATTAATTTTTTCCCCATTGCTATGTAACAGAGTACTACAAACTTTGAAAAATAAATTTATGCACAACTATAGGTACACAAGACCAGAAAGAACTATGTTAAATTTATAAAAACATCATCTTATCTTTGGAGTATAAAATTTAACACATCTTAAACAAATATCATTTGCTAAGGTACTAAGTAAAGAATAGTGCATCTAAAAATTAAATACAATTCTCAAGTTTAGGTAGTCCCTTCCTTCTACCCATTATATATAATAAGATTAATGTATTGTGGCTTCAACCCATTAGTTAGTCTTGATTTCCCTTATAAAATAAGTGAATACTCTTGGGAATTTTCTTCACTTTTTTTTTTTAATTTAATTTTTTCTTACTGGCAATCTTTGTCCATCATCTCTGATTCATTTCCTCCTGCTTTTGAACATTTGTTAGTTGCTCCTGTATAAGATATCTAGTCAGATAACAGCGTGACCTAGCCCAGAAACCGACTTGGGAGGAACACTGCAGTCTAAAACAATTTTTGGGTGAATGATCAGGTGACTCATAGGGAATTCGTGTATCACAGCATAGTAAAATTCTGGGATTTGTTCAGCACTCTGATGTAATAAAAATCAGAAGGTCCTACAAAAATTTTCCTGATTAGTCTGAGATCAACTCTTTCAGGGGTGTGTATGCCTGCAAAAAGCAAGTGTGAAGAACTAAGGAAAGTAGTTTTTGTTTTTTCATTTAAACTCATCATAACCAAGGAGGGAGGTAACCTGAGTTGGCAAAAAATTTAAGTGCACTTCCTGCAAACAGTTATACTGAATTTAGCAACACAGAAAAGTGTTCAGCTTATGAAATTTGAAATTGGACTGTGTGAAGACATTGAGGTGGATGGGCATTTCTCCTAGGACTGAAACTACCTGACACTGGTACAATCTAGTGCAGCAGTTTTCAAACTGTGGGTTGCGACCACATCTTAATGGGTCGCCAAGGCTGGCTTAGACTTGCTGAGGTCCGGGGCCCAGAGATGAAGCTCATGTTACAGGCCCCCTTGCCTGGGGCAGAAGCCCTTGGGCTTCAGTTTTGGCACCATCTGAAGCAGTGGGGCTCAGGCTTTGGCACCCCCAACCCCGAGCAGTGGGGCTTGGGACTGCTCAGGCTTCGGTCCCCCCTCCTAGGGTTGTGTAGTAATTTTTGTTGTCAGAAGGGGGTCGCAGTGCAATGAAGTTTGAGAACCCCTGATCTAATGCATTCCAAAGATATATTTTGCTCTTCAGAAGTATTTTTGTGAGCCCATCTGATAAGGCTCTGGGAGGGGTAATTTAGCAGTATCAAGGTGAAGGATCCAGTCACCCTAACTTTCCCTTCAGTAAGAGGCTTTTACAAGCTCCCTCACCCCAGCAGCTCTTTCCAGTGCCTCACTGTCCCTTTTCTGTTAAAATCTAATTAGTTCAGTGAGCCCCCAGCTGGGGAGGCAAAGTATCCTAAGCTGTAATTTAATGAAATGTGATATACAGATTTACTTACCCAATTCTTTAGAAACTGGAGATGCAGTTGCTATTTCTCCAATCTTTGCAACACCATCATAATATGCTCTTCCAGCCAGTATCATAGCTATAGGGAAAACAACAAGAGTACTCAGCTTGTGTTGCATTTAAAAAATTGAGTACATTATGAACTACCATCCACCAGGAAAAGGTGAATGATATTTTCACAATGCCTACCTGGGGTTCAAACGGGGTGCACAAACTTGGTTCTTTAACTTTTGGGAATTATTCTAGGGTATTCGGAGTCCAGTCCAGGGCCTGTTGATGTCAATGTAAAGATTCTGACTTCAACACAGGCGGGATCAGCCCCCAATAATAGTAAATGACTCACATCTATTAATACGATATAGAATTCCCGAAAAGCATATTATATGTGTTTTTTTAAATGACATAATACATATAACCAAAAAGCCTATGTCCTTTCTGTCTTACTTTAGATTCATATGCACTGTATGTACTGACAACTCATAGTGTGGTGCAATACTTTGAAGATGACACAACTGGTCTTCTAGGAACAAATTCTGTCCACCCTCCCTCTCCGTGGCTGCAGAAGTTCCCAGATGCAGTGAAGATCTGCTATGAAAGCTTTAGGGAAATCTATAAGAAAGCTACAGTGCTAGAATGTTGAGGAAAGGCTGATAGATCTGCTGCTGTGTGTTTCCAACAGCCAGTGATCCCCTGTGAAGTGGCATCACAACAGTGACCAGGCGCATGGAAGGATTACTTCTCTTACCCTCACAGAACCTCCCTATAACTAATAGGAATGGAGAATAGAACACAGTTACCTTAAACAGAAAGTTATGATGTGAATTATTCCAGACACCTAAATCACTATGACAGAGTAGCAAAATCAATACTGTTGATTCCCAAAAAACAGATGACAGTAAAAGCAAGGCACTCTTCTTAAAAGAACTAATTCCATATAATTTAAATCAGTGCCAAAAGAGAGGTCTATAATTGCCCTATGATAAGTGAGCATGAATTACAAGCTACCAGTGGAAAATGTTTACCATTTCACTGCTAGTCAGTATGTCTGAAGCATCCAGCTAATAATGTGTTTATCAAGGGTAGCTGAATGAACCAAACCATCCATCCTAAACATTTTATTAATTTGAAGGGAGGTTCCATAGATACAATTCCACACATTTTTAATACACAAATAATGAAGCACCATCAGATACTCTTTTGTAATTTGTGCTCAGAGGACTTTCTTCAACCAGTTCTCTAAGTAGGATTTTTATGGAAAACCATTGTTATACATATGAACTATTGTAAAATCACATCAAGGTTATTGTTCTATTAACAGGCAATAAATACAATGGCACCCTTAACTTCCAACAGTACTGACTACAATATTAATGACAAGTGTAGTTCTTATATTCCCCAGGATACAATCTGGAATGTTGGACAGCTGTGTCCCCTCAGTTCTCCAACCTGGGGTACTTTTTACACTGCTTTGCAGTGAGAGCAACCATTCCTGGCTTGCTCACACAGCCTCCAACATGTAAATTACCCCCAGGTATACTGCAATAGTGCTTCAGCCAGCCAGCCACCCTTGAATTATACTGCAGAGTGACATCAGCAAATTCACAGTCCCAGACTTCCCCCAGAAATGTGTATCTTGTACTGCCCAGATCTTTCTTTCTCAATACAAGTTCATATAAAGTCCGTTATTTCGTTAACAGAAAATGTTATCCATAAATATTATCTCAAATGAAGTTTCCCAAACACTTCAATCCAAACACACACTAGTTTAGATAAAACAAATTTAACTATAGAAAGAAAGATTTTAAGTGATTTCAAGTAATGAGGCATAAAAGTCCAAATTGGTTACAAAGAAATAAAGGTAAAACACAAACTAATACTTAACAAGTTAAATAGTCCTACCATATGTCCGGATTTCCCCGGACATGTCCGGCTTTTCAATCTATAAATAGCCGTCCGGGCGGGATTTCTAAAAATCTAAAAATGTCCGGGATTTCCCCCCAGTTGGCTATTTATAGATCGAAAAGCGGCGCTGCTTGGCAGCCAAAGCCCCTTCTCGGTTCCCCCCATCTCCTGCAGCCTTAGCACACCCCAGGCCCCGCAGCTGTCTTCCCCCTCCTCCCCTCCCCTGAACACTCCGCCCCCTGCTCCTCCCCCTCCCCTGCTTCCCGCGAATCAGATCTTCGCGGGAAGTCTGAAAAGAAGCAGGGGCAGGCGGGCAGCAGCAGGTAAGCTGGGGCGGGGGGACGTGAGGAGGAGGGCTCCGGGGAGGCGCAATGCGGCCCAGTCCGGCCCCGGCCGGCCCCAGCGGCTCCAGCCCGGCCTGGTTCAGGCCCCGGGGCACCGGCCCCAGTTCCGGCCGAGCGCGCCGGCCTGGCCCCGGCCCCAGAGGCTCCGGTTCCAGCCGAGTGCGCCAGCCCCGACCCCAGCGGCTCTGGCCCAGCTCGGGCCCCAGGACGGCCGGCCCGGCCCCAGCCGAGCACCTCCGACCGAGCGGTGCTGGCTGAGCACCCCCGGCCCCAGCGGCTCCAGCCCGGCCCGGCTCGGGCCCCGGGGCACCGGCCCCAGTTCCGGCCGAGCGGTGCCAGCTGAGCACCCCTGGCCCCGGCCGAGCACCTCCGGCCTGGCCTCAAACCCCGCGACTCCGGCCGGAGCGCAGCCTGATTCCTGGGCTCTTGTTAAAGCCGGCCCTGGTCGGCGGATAGGGAGTGGGGGGGTTGGATGGGTCGGGAGTTCGGGGGGGGCTGTCAGGGGGGGCAGGGGGTGTGGAGAGGGGTTGGGACAGTCAGGGATAGGGAGCAGGGGGGTTTAGATGGGTCGGAGGTTCTGGGGGGGCTGTCAGAGGGGCAGGGGTGTGGAGAGGGGTCGAGGCAGGCAGGGAGCAGAGGGGGTGGGATGGGTCAGGAGTTCTGGGGGTCCTGTCAGTGGGCAGGGAGCAGTTGGAGAGGCCATGGGAGTCCTTGGGGTCTGTCTGGGGGCGGGGGTGTGAATATGGGGTGGGGTTGTGGATAAGGGTCGGGGCAGTCAGGGGACAGGTAGGGTCCTGGGGGGCAGTTAGTGGCATGGGTTCCAGGAGGGGGCAGTCAGGGGACAAGGAGCAGGGGGGAGTTGGGGGTTCTGAGGGGGGCAGTCAGGGGGTGGGAGGGAGTGATTTGGGGCGGGGCGGGGCTAGAGCAGGGCTCCTCCCCCCCATGTCCTCTTTTTTGACTGTGCAAATATGGTAACCCTAAGTTAAATTAATTCAAAGCCGAAGTCTCTCTCTCTCTCTCACCCCATGTTCTTTTGCAGGCTTCCTGGTTGGATGCTTTCCAGCCAGGACCCATCCCCCAGTCCAATGCTCCTTTCCTTGTCCTTCAGGCATTGTGGATGTCATGGGCAGAGAGGTGATTTGGGGCCTCTGTTCCTCATTTTTTATATCTTTTTCTCCTCTTTGATAATCCTCTCCAGCTGGGGTTCAGGAAAAGCAGATCTGGGGAAATGGGAACTTCCAGCTGTTCCATTGCCAAGATGTAAATTTCTTGCTCACAACCTTCTTCCTGCCAGAGTGTCTGCTTAACAAGGTGCCAGTCCATTTGATTATGCTGACATTCCATTTGGTTATGCTGATTATGCCAAGGCTCAGTTTGCATTTTGTCTCTAAGGAACTGGTTTGTGCCTGCTTTTCTAGACTTGGAACATGTCTCAGCAATATTATACAGTAGAATCTTATAACTTTACATACAACGTTGTCACTATTTTACCAGGACAATCACGTTCAGCAGATTGAGTTTTCAAATGATACCTCACAAGGCATACTTTGTACAAAATTTATCATCATCTTGTAAAAAGGATGAACATAAGGGTGCAGACTGTCACAACAGTCTGCTAGACCTTTATGTTTTACTCTTCTTAATTTTTCTGTAGCACATGGACAGGTACTCATGGAGATTAATATATTACAAATATTAACCTGCACTCATCACATACTTCCAGCTCATATAATGTCACTAAGCATTTAGAAAATGTCTGAGGATTCTCTATGGCAAGAATAATAATTAGGTTACCAAATATAGTTCTAGAAATATAATGCCACTGATGTTTTTCATTTTAACTGGTAAGGCATTCTGGAGTCTTTAAATTATAGGACTTGAAAATCTTTCAAGAACTTAATCTTTCAGATTAAGGAGATTTATGCTAGCTAGAGTTGGAATGCTAGATAATCAGATTTGGCATTATCATCTTTATTTTCAACTGGTGACACTAACACTCCTGAGACAATAAGTAAGCTGCCTGAATGACAATACAGCATAATATCTATCAATATTTCAAGTTAATATTTCCACTTCCTTGGACAGATCTGAGGAAGATTTGTATGAGTATTGTCTGCGTACAATTTGTCAATCAAGGATTTTGTCATTCAGAGAATTAGTTTCAGTCTCCCAAAACAATACCTACATCTATCTGTGTTTAGAGCTTATTTTACTCATGAACACACATAAACTAGTTTGAGCCAAGGTTTACTTGAAACTAGACTGAGACTATCAACTCATATCATACAGGTTACCCAACAGCTATCGGCTGCTAATTAGGTCCTTTTTTAAAAACAGGAAACGCTACAAATCTATGGTATCCTATGGAAGAATATGTGTTGAGTGATAGCCTGTTTGAACATCTATGTGATTACAACACTGTCCCATTACTGACTCTAGATGTCACAATGACTTTCTTTTTCTTTCTTTGTTCTATTTTCATATGTAAATTCTCCTACATAGGAATATGACGATTCAGGAGGTCCCTACCAGTCCCAAGTCCAGTCCCCTGCTATTGCAGGCAACTCGATCACATAATCCTGTTCACAAACTTATCATGCTTCATTTTAAAACTAACCAGTTTGTTTGCCCCACCAGTCCTATTAGAAGCCTGTTCAAGGACCTCACTTCTCTGATAAAATCTTTCTTCCAATTTCTGGTCTAACTAAATTTATTCATGGCTGGATCTTACACATGTTCTTGTGCCGTCATTATCCTTTAGCTTAATTAGATCTTCTCCTACCTTGATTTTTACCCCCATTATGTATTTATAAAGAGCAATCATATCCCCTCACCCTTCATTTGCTAGTCTAAACAAGGCAAGCTCTTTGAAAACTCCTCTCCTGCGCAACTTGCTGTGGGAAATTTAGATTCCCAGGACAAAGCATATCAGGATGTAACAGCAACCTGAAAGTGAGCATATACTATAAATTCTTCCAGGCTTGCAGTACTTACGGTGCAGTAAAGCTGGACTCAAACCATTTCAATTCAGCTAGAGGGCTGTTATTGATATTTAGTAAGTTCTGTCAATTAACATTTCTCACCTTTTCTTGGTCAGTGAATTCACAACTCCAAAACAAACTGCATTCTCATGTTTGACGTGATCACACTTGTTAGGCACAAGCATTACAGAAATTTAAAAGGCAAAGCTGGAAAACTTTCATTGCTGTAAGACACAAGGACTAACCTAATGTACAAGAAAGAAATCCTGTTCTCTGAGAAGACGTGACAATGTTTTAACTGTCTTGATTTTAAGACAATGTTTGGCCAATTTTTATTGCATATTGGCTGGATACAACATAACTGAGTTCAGGTTTTTCAGGAAACATTAAGCATAATTATATATTAAAGTCACAGTGGTTTCGATTATTTCCTGTTAATGATTTCCATGTTAATATGTGCATTTGATTTAAATGGTAGGGCCAGTTTTGCTGGATTGAACACTGAAGCAGCAAGATTCAAACTGGAGAAGGGCTAGCAGCGAACAGCAGTTTACACATGTAGTAGTTTATAACATACAAATCTGATTCCCTGCATCTTCAGGGCATCTGCATCAGATTTTTATGTCATGAGCTTAAGAAGTAATGGCAAGAATTGGTCAGATATTCTTGCAAGTGGAAATGATGCATATGCTTTGAGTAGTAGTTTATTTTTGAAGGAGGCAGAAAGTCTTCTTCCTTTTATCTTTTTGTTGTAGTAAGCTTTTCATTCCCCAAGTACAATCCAAGCAGGCCATCTCCTCTGACCTCAGAATACTTTTGTTGGGGACACCAGGGAGAAGACACAGAGCAGTGAGCCAGCCAGCCAATTATAGTTTTACTGCCAAAGGTAGGGTTGCCAATTTTGGTTGGACGTATTCCTGGAGATTTCATAACATCACATCACATGATCTTTAATTAAAGATTAATCTTTAATTCCTGGATACTCCAGGACAATCCTGGAGGGATGGCAACCCTAGCTAAAAGTGAGGTCATTGCCTATCCCATAGTACATCAAGTGGTTCTTACATTGGCTAGTTGTCCTTGAGCCAAGCCCCAAAGGGGTTACAGGATCCCCTTCAGTTCCTGGTCTCACTCCCCTACACTACAACTCAATTTTTTGATGGGTAATGCCCATTACTTTCCAACTCTTGATGGAGTTGATCAGTACTCTTCACAGTCTGGGTCTGAGCCAATTTTCTTGCCCCATTACCAGTATCTTTATTTATGGCTTTCCAGGTAAGCAAAGCTATCCTGAAGGCTAGATTTGCGTCAACCAGACACATTGCAACCTGTGCTAAAGCTCTGACCAGCTATAGATTCAACTTCTTTTCACCACATGGACTAGTGAGGCACTGGATTAGGGGTGGGCAATCTTTTTGGCCGGAGGACTGCATCGGGTTTCGTAAATTGTATGGCGGGCCGGTTAGGGGAGGGGGTCGTGGCCCAGCCCCCACCTCCTATCTGCCCTCCCCCCCAGACTCCTGCCTCATCCAACCCCCTCTGTTCCCTGACAGCCCCCCCAGGACCCCTACCCCATCCACAAACCCCCGCGCCCTGTCCCCTGA